ACACTACACCTGTTTGAAGAGATAAATTAAAAATATTAGTTAATGGTTCACAGAGTTCCATTTTGCATTCCTTAAGAACCCTTGAAAAAACCTCATCAGGACCCGGTGACTTATTTGCTTCAGTCGGTCTATCTGCTTCACAACCATTTCACTAGTGACTGTGATGTTACATAATTTATCTTCTTCTGGCCCACTATAAAAATTAATTACCGGAATATTATTAGTGTCTTCCTGTGTATTATTATTATTATAATCAAAAAGAAGCGCTAAGCCACAAGGGCTATACAGCGCTGCAGGGTAGGGAAGGAAGGAAGGGAATTGGATGGCAGAAGGGAGGGGGGATGATCAGCAGGTTACAGAAAACAAGCGGGCAGGGGATAGTACGGGGGTAGAGGGTAGCAAGAGATTGAAGTAGAAAGGGCTGAAGGTATCAGAATTTGTGAAGTCAGTCAGTCGTTGTCAAAAAGTCAATGAGAGAGTCCGGATGAAAGGTGGGTCCATCAGCGAGAAGGAAGGTAAAGAGAGAGCAGCGGAGCGAAGACGACGACAGAGGTAAATTCTGCGTGCTCGTTGATAAAGTGGGCAGTCCAACAGAATGTGGCTGACTGATAATGGAGCTTGGCAATTCTCACAGAGAGGAGCAAGACGCCTCTCCATGAGATATCCATGAGTAAGACGAGTATGGCCAATGCGAAGACGGGAGAGAGTAGTCTCCCAACCTCGACATTGGTGATAAGAAGACGGCCAGTAACCTATACTCGGTTTAATAGACTGAAGTTTGTTGCCGAGCATAGTAGACCAACGTTGTTGCCAACGGGTGTGAAGGTGGGAAGATATTGCAGCAAAATAGTCTGTAAATGGAATACCTCTATAAGAAACTGGTAGGTCATGTACTGCTGACCGCGGAGCAGTGTCTGCCTGTTCATTGCCCTGTACGTCAACATGACCTCTTCCTGTGTAAAAACCGAGAGAAAATAATTATTTAAAATCGAGCACATTTCATTGTCAGTAAGATGCCCATAGTTATTTTTAAGGGGACCTATCTTATCTCTGACTTTTGTTCTATATACCTGGAAAAAACTTTTTGGGTTAGTTTTAGAATCCCTAGCAACTTTAATTTCATAGTCCCTTTTAGCTTTTCTTATCCCCTTTTTAATGTCCCTCTTAATGTCAATATACTGATTCATAAGATGGCCCTCACCTCTTTTGATACGCCTATAAATTCCTTTCTTATGCCCTAGTAGATATTTCAGCCTATTATTCATCCATTTTGGGTCATTTCTATTTGATCTAATTTTTTTTATAAGGGATAAACGTTCTTTGAGCAGCATGTATTGTGTTCAGAAAAACTGTCATATTGATAGCTCTCTTCGTTACCCCAGTCAACAGATGATAAGTGTTCTCTAAGCCCATCGTAATCTGCTAAGCGAAAATCTGGGACTGTTACTGAGTTATCCCTACTATCATACTTCCATTCAATGCTAAATGTAATTGATTTGTGGTCGCTAGCACCCAGTTCCTCTGAAACTTCTAAATTATTAACAAGGGATTCATTGTTTGCCAGAACTAAGTCAAGCAGGTTATTACCCGTTGTAGGTTCTGTCACAAACTGCTTCAAAAAACAATCCTGAACTACTTCTAAGAAGTCGTATGATTCTAAATTCCCAGTCAAGAAATTCCAATCAATATGAAAAGCTGTAAGCCTCCTGCTGGAAAGCTGGCTGCCTTGGATCAATATCTAGCTCATGCTAGACGCAAAGGTGTTGGACCAGTGTAGCTAGGTTGGTAAAGCACTGCATACCTTGTTCCAAGGTTCATAGGTTTGAGTCTCCTTCAGCCAGAGATCAGTGTTTGTGAATATTTTGCCTATTCTTGCAAATTCCTAGCATATATATGTATATGTATTATAGGTAGCAGGCTGGTAGACAGCAACTGCCCAGGGAGGTACTACCATCCTGCCAAGTGAGTGTGACACAAAAGCCTGTAATTGTTTCACAAGATGATAGGATTGCTGGTGTCCTTTTTTCTGTCTCATAAACATGAAAGATTTCAGGTACATCTTGCTACTTCTACTTACACTTAGGTCACACTACACATACATGTGCAAGCATATATATACATACCCCTCTGGGTTTTCTTCTATTTTCTAACCAGTTCTTGTTCATGTTTATTTCCTCTTATCTCCATGGGGAAGTGGAACAGAATTCTTCCTCCGTAATCCAGGCGTGTTGTAAGAGGCGACTAAAATGCCAGAAGCAAGGGGCTAGTAACCCCTTCTCGTGTAAAAATTACTAAATTTAAAAGGGGAAACTTTCGTTTTTCCTTTTGGGCCACCCCACCTCAGTGGGATATGGCTGGTACGTTGAAAGAAGTATATATATATTATATATATATTTTATATATATATATATATATATATATATATATATATATATATATATATATATACTATATATATATATCGAAGGGGTTTAGTTATAGGTAATACATATTTTGAAAAAGAGGGTAAATAAGTATACAAGATATGATGTAGGGCCGAAATGGACAGTACGTTTGTTGGATTAGGTATTGTAGAATAAAAGACTGTTGAGTAGGACTTCAAGGATGTACATGTATATAGAGGGGCCAAGAATATATCCAGATGACTGTTATAGTGTAGTCTACACTGAGAGGTAAAAGGTAGATGGGATACAAGGGCAATAGTAAGCTCAGGGAAAAGAGACAGGTGAAGGTTTATAAAACTAAAAGAGGAGGCAGTTAGGGAAAGATATAAACAGCTTACTGGAGGATAGATGAGGCTATGAGAGCATAGGGCAATGGGGTCGAAGAGGTATGGGGTAGGTTTGAAAAATGTTAGTGTTGAGTGTTCAGCAGAAGTTTGTGGTTACAGGAAAGTGGGTGCGGGAGGGAAGAGGAGCGATTGTGGATGATGATTAAAGAGGAGTAGTAAGGGAGAAAAAGTTTTGCTTATAAGAAGTTTTACAAAGCTAGAAGTGATTTGCAAGGAGGGGAAGAGTATTGGAGAAAAAGAGAGAGGTTAAGAGAGTGGTGAAGCAATGTAAAAGAGAGCAAATGAGAGAGTGTGTGAGATGTTATCAACAATTTTGTGATAAATAAGAAAAAGTTTTGGAGTGAGATTAAAGTAAGGAAAGCCTAAAGAAACAAATGGATTTGTCCGCTAAAAATAGGAGAGGGAGTTTATTAAATGGAGAGTTAGAGTTACCTGGGAGATGGAGGGAATATTTTGTGGAATTGTTAAATGTGATGAAGATAGGGAAGCTGTGATTTCGTTGTATTAGGGCAAAGGAGGAATAACTCTTGTAGGTGAGAGGGAAGAGCAGTTGTGAGTGTGGGGAAGTTCGTGAGGCAGTAGGAAACGAAAGGAGGTAAGGCAGCCGGGTTTGATGGGACTAAAGATGAATGTCAAAGCAGGTGGGGAAGAGTTTTGGATTGGTTGGTTTGCAATTATTTAATAAATGTTGGAAGAGGGTAAGGTACTAGGGATTGGAGAAGAGCATGCATGTTCCTTTGTATAAAGGGCCAAAGGGGACAAAAGAGAGTGCAAAAATTTAGGGGGATAAGTCTGTTTGGAGTATACCTGGTAAAGTGTATGTAGTGTTATTATTGAAAGAATTAAGAGGTAAGTACGGAGAATAGGATAGCAGTGAACAAGGAGTTTAGGAAAGGTTAGGGGGTGTGTTGGACCAGGTGTTTTACAGTGAAAACATATAAGTGAGAAGTATTTAGATAAGGCCCTAAGAGGTCTTTGTGGGCATTTATGAATTTGTAAAACGGTGTATGACAGGGTGGATACGGGGCCAATGTGGCAGATGATGCCAGGTGTATGGTGTAGGAGGTAGGTTACTGACAAGCAAGTGAAGAGTTTTTACGAGGATAGTGAGGCTCAAGTTAGTGTATGTAGGATTGAGGGGAACGTATTTTCCAGTAACAGTAGGCCTTAGACAAGGATGTGTGATGTCACTGATGGTTTTTTTAATATATATATTATAGATGGGGTTGTAAGAGATGTAAATGCGAGGGTCTTGACAAGAGGAGTGGAGATAAAAGATAGTAATCACACATTAAAGTGGGAGTAGTCACAGTTGCTCTTTGCTGTTTGGACACTGTGTTCTCTTGGAGGAGATTCTGAAGAGAAGTTAGTTGCAGAGATTGGTGGATATGAAATTAGGTAGTGTGCAAAAAGAAGTAAATTAATAGTGAATACAGGAAAGAGTAAGGTTATGAGGATAACAAAAAGATTAGGTGTGATGAACGATGGATATAGAAGGAGGGAGAGAGTATGGAGGAGGTGAATGTATTCAGATATTTGAGTGGACGTGTCAGCGGATGGGTAATGATGGATGAGGTGAATCATAGAATTGATGAGGGGAAAAGGTATGTGTGAGAGGTTGCTCTAGAAGTCTGTGGAGAAAAGAACTTTGTCCTTGGAGGCAAAGAGGGGAATGTATGAGAGTATAGTTTTACCAACGCTCTTTATTATGGGTATATGGAAGCATGGGTTGGATGAATGTTGCAGCGAGGAGAAGGCTGGAGGCAGTGGAGAGATGTCATGTCTGAGGGCAATGTGTGGTTGTGAATATATGCAAGAATCGTAGTTTGGAAGTTAGGAGGAGGTAGCGGGATTACCAAACTGTTGTCAGAGGGCTGAGGAAGGGTGTTGAGGTGGTTCGGACATGTTTAGAGAGACTGGAAGCAAAACAGACCGACTCTCAGAGTGTTATCAGTCTGTAATTGGAAGGTAGGCGGGGGTAGGGGTCGGCATAGGAAAGGTTGGAGGGAGGGGGTTAGGAGGTTTTGTGTGCGAGTGGGCTTGGACTTCCAGCAGGGCATGTGTGAGGTGTTGATAGGATGTGATGGAGATGAATGGTTTTTAATACTTGGCGTTGCGGTTGGATTTGTGAGCGAGCAATAGTAACATTTATGAAGGGGTCAGGGGAAAACCGGCAGCCGGGACTTGAGTCTGGAGATGGGAGGGAAGGTACAGTGCCTGCACTCTGAAGGAGGGGTGTTAATGTTGCAGTTTAAAAACTGTAGTGTAAAGCACCCTTCTGGCAAGACAGTGATGGAGTAAATGATGGTGAAAGTTTTTCTTTTTCGGGCCACCCTGCCTTGGTGGGAATCGGCCAGTGTGATAATAAAAAATATATATATATATATATACAGTGGACCCCCCCGGCTTAACGATCACCTCCCAATGCGACCAGTTATGTAAGTGTAATTATGTAAGTGCGTTTGTACGTGTATGTCTGGGGGTCTGAAATGGACTAATCTACTTCACAATATTCCTTATGGGAACAAATTTGGTCAGTACTGGCACCTGAACATACTTCTGGAATGAAAAAATATCGTTATCCGGGGGTCCACTGTATATTGTTCATACTGTATATTAGCTCTCATGAGTACACAAGACTAATCTTTTTATAAAATATATAAGATATTCTGAACATTAATACAACTTATCTCCTCTATGAGCTAATATGATTTATGTGACTGACATTTCATTAACATATTTCACTCTCAACACTGTTATGGTATATCCCTTTTATATATTCTGATGAGTTTATAACTAAAATATTTCTGAAATATTAAACACTAACATGTTTCATCTCTTGAATGAACTTGAGTATGTCTCACAAGATTGTTTTTTTGATTAAAACATTTCAGACACTCAGAACATTGATATGGTTTATCTCCTGTATGCACTATCATATGTGTCACAAGGCTGCTTTTTTGATTAAAACATTTCAGACACTCAGAACATTGATATGGTTTATCTCCTGTATGTACTTTCATGTGTGTCACAAGACTGCTTTTTTGATTAAAACATTTCAGACACTCTGAACATTGATATGACTTATCTCCTGTATGTACTCTCATGTGTGTCACAAGATTGCTTTTTTGATTAAAACATTTCAGACACTCAGAACATCGATATGGTTTATCTCCTGTATGTAGTCTCATGTGTGTCACAAGACTGCTTTTTTGATTAAAACATTTCAGACACTCAGAACATCGATATGGTTTATCTCCTGTATGTACTCTCATATGCCTCACAAGACTGCTTTTTCCACTAAAACATTTCAGACACTCAGAACATCGATATGGTTTATCTCCTGCATGTACTCTCATATGCCTCACAAGACTGCTTTTTCCACTAAAACATTTCAGACACTCTGAACATTGATATGGTTTATCTCCTGTATGTACTCTCATGTGTGTCACAAGATTGCTTTTTTCACTAAAACATTTCAGACACTCAGAACATTGATATGGTTTATCTCCTGTATGTACTCTAATATGTTTCACAAGATTGCTTTTTTCACTAAAACATTTCAGACACTCAGCACAATGATATGGTTTATCTCCTGTATGTACTCTCATGTGTGTCACAAGACTGCTTTTTTTACTAAAACATTTCAGACACTCAGAACATTGATATGGTTTATCTCCTGTATGTACTCTCGCATGTGACACAAGATGACTTTTTTTACTAAAACATTTCAGACACTCAGAACATTGATATGGTTTATCTCCTGTATGTACTCTAATATGTTTCACAAGATTGCTTTTTTCACTAAAACATTTCAGACACTCAGCACAATGATATGGTTTTTTTATTCTCCTGGTGCCATGTTTTTACTCTACATCATGTGTTGGTTTCCCTTATGCTTCCATGTCGTGTTTTTTACTAAAACATTTCAGACACTCAGAACAATGATATGGTTTATCTCCTGTATGTACTCTCGCATGTGACACAAGATGACTTTTTTTACTAAAACATTTCAGACACTCAGAACATTCATATGGTTTGTGTTCTTTATGTTTTCCCATATTTTTTAAATGAAGGTATTTCATTTAAAATATTTTAGTCATACAACAGTTTTGAAAAATTAATCTTCCATATGTAACTCACATGTCATGTTCAATGATTTTTTTAACTATTTGGACACTGAGCTCATGGTTTTTTCTTATGAACATATTCCATGGTTAAGATTTACTTAGGCAAAACTTTTCCTACTAATGAAGCACTAATAAAGTTCATATTGGTTTGTTAAAACACTATCATAATTTATGTTGTGTTAAAACAATAATATAATGTACTAGAACACTGCAGATACCCTCAACATTATAATATTATTTGCTCCTTGTGTTTAAACCAATTTTTCTATCTTCTTTATTGACCTTTTGAGGGGCAGACCCCCAATCTGAAAATTATCGCACAGGTCAAAAAATATATTTTTTTCTTATGAAATCATAGAGGAAATCTTTTTCTGAAGTGTTTTAAGAGGGTAAAATTACGGATAATTAGTTGATGATAAAGGGGGCATATGGGGAGATGAAGGTTGATAGAGGGAGCGTGCTGCTTGCGGGGCGTACTATTTCTCCTGGGGGCTGGGGCTGTGCGAGGCAGCAGTAAGGTATGACTACTGCGAGCTTGGGAGTAGTGGGCAAACAGATTGTATTAAAGTAGCCTCTCATTCTCTGAGGTCAGTAAACTCTGTTTTGACGAAACGTAAGAGACATGTATTGATGGCTAGGCCTATGGAGATGAAACAGCCATCTGTAATTCTACGTCTCATACTCAATATCAGGCTAGAGGGATGGTTCCATATTGTCTACTAAGCACATAAAATAGACCAATTTAACTATTTCAACTTCTTAAATAAAGTGACTGGATATTGAAATATGGCCAATTCACACAAAATTCAAAATATTCCAATATCAAAATATGGTCAGAAATAATCAATGCAGGCAATCCTGGCACTAAACTAATCATTTCTACTATTTTTTTAGTTACATTTGCAGGCTTGCAGATGAATTCCATTTTGATTTTTATTCACAAATTATTTTGTATGCACACCAAAAAATAGAAAAGTTATTGCTATGCAATATTGTAATAATGTATAAATAATATCAGTGCATTCAGTAGCACACATTAAACCACCATCTGACGTGCACTGTACGAATGATGTGAATTATTTACCCTCTAATAACAGCAAAAATAGAACATATCTATTACTCTGAACTCAATTTCAAGCCTATTTTCCGTACTAAACATCCATCAAAGTCTTTCTGTAATCCATCTTCTATTCTATCAAATAGATCAAGAAACAGTGAATGCTACTATAAAAACAGAAAATACACCAAAAATTTGCTGTTCATAATCCAAAAACAAGTTCACTTTGTTTTTTCCTCATGCACTGCCCTGCTGAAGGATTTCTTTTATATGTGCGACACTTACACATCGATGCATTCTCTCATATTTAGGCCTAAATTTACTGCTCCACAGCTTATCTGAGTAAAGCTGAGCTCATGATGTAGTACTACAGCTTAAAAATCAAAGAAACTACAAAACGAACCCTCAAAGAATTAACTGCCGATGCATTTTAGATAGAATTCCCAAAATCAAAAGCAAAATTGTTTAATTAGTAATAGCTAGTTAAAAATCACAAGAATAACAGCTGTTGCATTCCTTGAAGTACGGAAGATATAGTCTCTGGCAAGACACAACCTGGTATTCTTCCACAAAATACTTCTGCAACATCAGTTGTTGTTCAAGACACTTACACTGGTGCTTCTTGAAGTACTGAAGATATAGTGTCTGGAAAGACACAACCTGGCAGTTTTCCACAAAATACGTCTGCAATAGAAACATGAGTCAGTATAGTACAATATTCCACAATTACCATTATAACATACTCAACTAAAAAAGATTTTTTTCTCTATTGTCATATGCTTCACTAAGTAAAATTGTCACTTAAGCCTTTCAGGGTCTGTGCCATAGATCTATGGGTTTACGTTCAGGGTCCAAACCGTAGATCAAACGCCAAAATTCTAGCAGCATCAAATTTAGCGCGAAAACGCTGGTAGGCCTACATGTGAGAGAACGGGTCTGCGTAGTGTGTGTGCGCCATAAACAAAAATTCTAGGCTCCCGCATAGCATTGTGGGAACGCCGGCTCAGTTACCTTTGTTCACCATGCCTCGCCGCAAGGCAGCTCTCACTCCAATGAAAATTGGGACTCTCCTCTTCCTATCTGATAGTTCTGACTCCGATGAAAGTGGAAATGAAGACGAATTCTTTGGCTTTGATCAGTTAGTGACCGAAAGGAATGACCAGGATATCGATAATAGTGCAGAAAACCTTGGCGATCCTGAACCTTCTACCTCTGATGTGAGCACTCCTCAGTCACGGTCAGTTGTATCTCATCCCAAGAGAAAACTATTATTTTCACGTGGCCGGGCCTCTGACTTCAGTAATGATGATGACAGTGACGTGGATTGTGATTTTATTGCTCTTGACGATCATTCGAGTAGTGATGGTGAGGAAACATATTACTGCAACCCCTGAATGGATCACAATGTATATAATGTATATTACCTGTTCATATAATTTTATATTGCTTATATTTGTGATAATACCTAAATCATAAATATATTGCTTTATATTATTATTTTACTTAGTTATATTTATTAGGTAGGATATAATATTTGTATATTATTAAGTGCTCATAGTTCGAGTGTTAAGCAGCTGACAGTATTGTCTAACTACTGTGTTTTCTCTTCACTCGTTACGCTGACGGCTTGTGTGTTGCTAGGCAGCAGCAGTCCACGGAGAATCATGGAGTAGTCTGTCTGGGTTGCTCAGTCTCTTGTCGGATGGGCGTCCTTCTAGCAAGAGGTCCCTCTACTCCTCTACCCTGTGCACTGTTGTTGGAAGATCGTCTCTGTCACTTTCTTGTTGTTGGTTCTGTGTAACTCTGTTCACAGAACATTGCCTAGACTTAGTGATTTTCGACATACTGAGATTGCATGTTCGGCTTATCAGTCGTTTTATTGTTCAAGCAAGCTGTTCTGATTGCCAGGTTGGTCAAGAAGTTAGTTTATGTGAGGGGCTTTGAGTATTCA